AAACAACTAAGCATTAAAAATGATAAGTAAATTAGGCTACAGTATGACAAAGAGCAGATAGGGGATCTCATGGAGAATTTAGTTGTGATCAAAGCTAATGAGTTCCCATGTAGGTATCTAACAACAAGTATTCCGGTAGAGGCCCTAAACCAAAGACATGCCTGGCTTGTTCAGATCCACAGCAAGGACAGAGTGCTTGGGATGAAGGGAATAAGGGGAAACATTGTGTGGGAGGAAGTCAGAGAGTTAATAGGGGCCAGATCAGCATGCAGTGTTTTTGGCTCTTATAAGGACATAGCCTTTTACTTTATGCAAAACAGGAAGGCACTGGATGATTTTGAGCAAAGAGAGACATATCTGGGTTACATTTTATAGCATTATTCTGGCTCTCTTTTAAACTATTTTTTTAAATATAAATTTAAGGCTCTCTTTGAGAATAGACTATGGAGGAGGCAAGTGTGCAAGCAACTGGGAAACCAGTCAGGAGACTCCGGCTATAGTTTGGTTGGTGGTTCAGACCAGGATGGGAATAGTTGAGGTGTTAAGTAGTGGTCAGATTCAGCAAACACTGTCAAGGTGGGATCAAGGAGATTTTCTAATAGAGAGAGAGATTTCAAGGATACCAAGATTATTGGCCTGAGCAACTGGCAAAATGGAGTTGCCATCAACTGAGATGGAAAATCTCTGGGTTGAACAGATTTGTAGGAGAAGGCAAAAAGATCAGTTTTGGACACACCAAGTTTCAGATGTCAATGCAAATTGAGAAGGCCAAGGACTGCACCTCGAGGCACTCCAATACTAAGACATGGGAGAAAGAAGGGAAAGCTTAGCCAAGGAAACAGGAAATCATTGGTCAATGAGGTGGAAGGAAAACCAAAACAATGAAGAAAGTATATCCAAAGGAGGAGTTGGTGAGCTACTGAGTAAAATGTTTCTAAATCCACTAATGGAAACTAGAGTTTCAAAAAGCTAAGTATATGGGAAGAAATGGATTCTCCACCCATTTGAAGTGCTTTTATATATGCAACTTAACTTCATGTCACTGTTTAAAAGTCAAAACGTTTCACAGGTACATAGAGAAAGGAAGCTGCAGGCTCGGGGCTGAGATCACAGGTCCCATTAGTCTTAAGGAAGCGTATGTTAAATTCCGACCTCGATTGTTTAGACAATGTTGATCTCACAGCCTCCACCTTATATATATTATCATGTAGTAGATAGAGTGCTTGCTGCACCAAGTTCATGTGTTTTGTGTTGCGGAGAAAACTGTAAAATCTGTTTTAGATGTTTGCATGTTTACCTAGGTTTTTGCTTCAAAAAATTGGTGAAGAGACTTCTGTCAAAAGAATTTCGGTAGGCTACCTACCAACTCTTTCCCACAGTGGAAGCAGAGATTGGTGATTAATATCCTCTGTCTTGCGGGGGAAAAAAATTCATTATATCGGAAAATGAGTGAGTCAGCAGAAAGTCTACCTGATAATGTCCTTGGCTGAGGAGGAAGAGGAAAGCACAGCTCTGAGCAAAAGAGCTCACATGCTGTTTCTACCAGGTGCTGATGAAAAGCAAGACAGGGTAAGTTACGGATCTATCAAAACCTGAAGTGGGTGGGGCTCTTTTATTAGGTTATACTTGAGTACCTGGTTACTGCTGGAAATGTATGCTGTGCGTGGACAAGAGAAATCAAAAAGAGAGTAACAGGGTTGGGTATGTGGAGTCACACTTGGTTTCCAGAAAGCCAAGAAGGAACATTTTGTGTGTAAGACACAAAATCTAGAAATGTCCTTTACACTTGCTGACAGTTATAAGTTGTGGAAAACTAACAAGGCGTTCATGTTTGCAAATCAATGGACTTCTGAACAGGAAACTTCAGATGAGTCTCTTCAGAATAAAATTATGAAAACAGATATTAGAATCTTCTCTCTTCCCTTCTCTCTCCACCCCTCCCCTTCCCTCTCCTTTCCTTTCCTTCTTTTCTTCTCTATCCTTGCTTCTCTCTTCCTTCCCTTCCTTCCTTTCTCCACCTTAGAAAATTAAATGCTCTTTTTGATTATCTTGGTGGTTAAGACTGAAGAGTTGATCCTGGGGAATCACTGTGCTGTGGAGTGGGCCGCTTCTCTTCATCTTCCTCTCATCCTGACAGACTGTCTTTTAGGATTGCAGTCTCAGAATCTGGGTATTGGGTATGGCCTATATTCTGAAAAATAATTTTTATCATTGATATGAGACTTTAAAATTTTTCTATTATTAGTCATTTTTATAAAACAGAAAGAAAAAATCCACCTCAAATCATTTCAGAATCAAAAATAAATAAAAATAAATACTTTTAAATCATGCATATTTTCGTATTTCTATTTTATATATTTTGGTAACAAAATTATGCTGGGAACACAACATTTTCTTTGTGTTAGGAGATATTCATAGGCACTTAATCATTTATTTAAATAATCTACAAACATGGAAGTTAAGCATAAAATACTGATGTTTATCTATTTGAAATGTTACCCATTTATTTTCAAAAAACGCAATATATACCAAAGGAAAACTAAATTGGCATATTCTACAAAAATGTATAAATATTTAAATTTACAGCAAAAGAACAATTATATCATCTAGTAATGCTTACAGTATTTAAAATGTGTCATTATGCACAATCTACTTTTATAAATGTTAAAGCACTAGGTGCCAAGCATATATCTAAAACATTTTTGAAATTACTCCTTTCTAGCTGTGGCTACACTGACCAAAACAACAACAACAACAACAACAACAACAAAAGCTGCAACAGAAAAAAAAAAAACACAAAAAAAACAAAAAAACACATGTAATCATTCTTTTTCCCCCTTGTGCTATTTTTAGCTGAAATTTCAGTACAACTGGAACCAAGCAGCGGCTTACTTTCATTTTCACACCAATTGAATGCATGATGAAAATCTCATTTTAAAAAAGTGTTATAGCCTTAATCATCTAATTTTCCATTCTCATTTGAACTCTTTAAAAACAGAATATTGAGTGATTTGTTCTCCCCAGCTAAAAACAAAAACAAAATAACTTTATATAACGTAACACAAGTATCGCAGAAGTGGTCTTTATCTTAAAGGATCCTTAAGAAAAGAGCTGCCCTGAATTCATTAGTATTTCAGAGGGATTTTTCTTTTAAAACACATACAATGAAAAGTGTCTTTAAAATTTATTGACCAATATAAAAGAAACTGGGCTACAAATATACACAAATTATTTAAAACACATTGCTGGTGCTCATTCAACACCGTAAATTCATACACAGCTGATATTTAGTAGCAGTTCGAACGTGGTGTAGTCACAACAGATGTGTCTATGTACTGTACATAAGAGGTGCTGATTTCACCTATTCCATATTTTGACATATTGGGGAAAATGGGCAGTGGTGGAATCCTGATACACAAACTGCCTTAAGATCTAATTGAATTTTTGCTGCCCAACTGAATTGGAAATTTATTCAAGATTTGCAGCAGATATCAGCTATGCAGGATGACAGCTATGGATGGTGACACATCCATGAAAAATCTGAATTTCTAAAATTCTTCAATTTGTGAAATCAGTACACTTTATAACTTAAGAATGCATACATGTTTTGCCTCCTCTGAGACTAGATTTAGCATCTGTAAATGAGATGCAAGTAAAATGGTTGTGAGCAGATACAATCATCATTTCTTAAGTGGTAAAACCATGTGTAGGGGGAGACAGTATTTTGAGGTTTACTGAACCAATTCAGAATATATTCCTAACCTCCCACCAAATTTTTTAAAAGGTAAAAACAGTTCTGTTTTAGTGTGGTTATTTTTCTCTCTCTGTGCACTTTTTTCCCTTTTATTTATTAGACTGTTTCTAAGCACCGTGGCAAAATCAAATTTATGGATTGTGTTTACTAGAGTTCACAGAGCTCCACTGGGAAGCCTAGAAATCTCTGCTGATTTCGCTGCAGTCTTTGAAGCTCCATATCATAGAACCTACCCAGTCTTCACAGTAATAGATGGTCTAATTCTCTGTGCAAGCTGTGGGCCAAACCTTACTTTTAACTTGAAGATAATTAGAAGGAAAAATGAAAGTGAGTATGTTCCATTAGTTACTACTGAAGAGGCTTTACTTCCCTGAAACCCAGTTTGCCAAATAATGATTGGATGTTCCCGTAATCATGCTGTTTCTTGGTAGTTTATTTCTGCTGTAGGCCTTAGTGCTTGTATTATTTTAAAGAACTAATTTTATTTAAATTAGTAGTAAGAATTTAAATATTTCTAAAGAATCAATGTACTAGTCAGAAACTTTTTTTTTTTTTTTTTTTTTTTTGAGACAGAGTCTTGAGGCTGGAGTGCAGTGGTGCGATCCTGGCTCACTGCAGCCTCTGCCTCCCAGGTTCAAGCAATCCTCCACATCAGCCTCCCGAGTAGTTGGGAGTACAGGTGTGTGCCACCACATCCAGCTAATTTTTGTATTTTTAGTAGAGACAGAGTTTCGTCATGTTGGCCAGGCTGGTCTCCAGCTTCTGAACTCAAGTGATCCCCCCACCTCAGCCTCCCAAAGTGCTGGGATTACAGGTGTAAGCCACCGTGCCTGGCCCCATAACATGTCTAATGAAGATATTTTTCTCATTATTGTTCCATTTCTGTAATTTTTTGAGTGACAGTATTAGTTTACATTAACAATAAGGGGTCCAAGCAACACAACTTATAGGTATATGATCTTTAGAAAAGTTATATTACGTATCTGGGTTTCAGTCTTATTATCTATAAACAGAGAAACTGAGACAACGTCATCTGTAAAGTCCTTTAAAAATCTCTGTAATTGTGTTTATTCCATTGACTGCACTTAGAAGATAAATTTAGTAATAATTCTTATGAAATCAAGAAAATACATACTTTTTAAGACAATGATATCTCTTTAAAAGTCAAAATCGTATACCTTCAGGTGGCCATTGGACACAAAAAATAAAAATTAAAACTATTTTTAGCTTAATGAAGCAACTTATGTAATATAGCAGCATTTTAATAAAATATCATATTTCATTTCCATAAGGCAGGATATTTTATCCAGAAAATAATATATAGTCCACAGTTTAATGTGAAGAATATTACGAAGAAAATTGTAACTTGAAGACAAAGTTATTGGAAATCCTGTCTAAATATATTAGCCTTTATTTTAAATTTTAAAATACAAAAAAAGTATGATACAGTAACACTTAGCAACTTTAACACACATTTTTCAGTTCATTAATTCAAGAAATATTTAAAGAATATATATGCCAGAAATACCAAATGAACAAAACTGACAAAGCCCCTGCCTTCATGGGACTTACCTTCTAGGGCATGTGATGGGCATGTTTGGGGCTGGGGAGGGGGAAGTGCAGACAGAAATAAAGAAGCAAACTTTTAGATTGTCAGGTACAGGGGATAGGGAGGGCAGATGGGAGAAGGGTTTGTCTTACTGATAAGATAATATTTGAACTGAGACCACTAAGGGGAGCTCTCTGGGGCAGAGGGAACAAAACACTAAAGCGGGAACTTTCTTGGGAGCCGTAGTGGGGTAAGTAAGAGGCAGAATAATAAGAGATAAGAGATGGCATTAGAAAAAGGTGGAATTGTATCTGTGTGTGTGTGCATGTGTATGTATGTGTGGTGAGTGGTGGGGATGTGTAGAGGGGTAACACTCATGAAGGACCTTGAAGGCCACTGGATGGAGAAGTCATTGGAAGATTGTGAGCAGGGAAATGACACAATCAAATTCATGGTTAACAGAATCACTATGGCTGGTGTATTGAGAAAAGATTGTTCAAGACAAGGACTAGGAAATTAGGGAACTAAATAATAAGCATATTGCGATTAAAAAGGTTAGAGGTAGTGACACCTAGTGGATGTGGCGGCAAGTCATTCTTTTCTAGTTATATTTCAAAGGTAGCATCAAGGGAATTTGCTGTTGGATTAGATGAAAGTTGAAACAGAAATAGAGGAGTCAAAAGCAACTTTCAGTTTTTGACCTGAGCATCTGGAAGTTTGAAGTTGCATTAACTGAGATGCAGAAGACCACAGAAGAGATTGGTTTGAAATATGTCAGTCTAGCTCCATAAATAAGGGATCTATAAGACAAGTGCATTATGAATCCAATCATGGTTTTAACTTTTTGTACTGAAGACAATAAACATTTTTGAAAACAAATTATATGTTAGTCATTGCTTTCTAGTGTTGGGTATTTTATATTTTATGCCACTTTTTGTTAGATACTGTAATGGCATGCGTTCAAGCCATCTGAAGATTCTTAAAAAATTCTTTTCTAGCATGAAACTCATGTAGTTTTAGTTTCTCACCATGACCACAACGAACTTTCACATATTTAAAATGCTGCTAAAATGTTTCAAGTTCAGCTTTGATGGGGTAGCTGTATTTATAAAAATTTGCCATTGACCATTTTCTACATAACATGCATTTTGACTGATAAATCAATAAGTGGAACATATGGTATACATGAGTCCTTGAGAGTTGAAGCTTTTCAACTTAAGTAATAATGCTGTGCAGGGTCTTTTTACCTTAGTTAGGAGAAAAGGAAATGAGGGGAGAAGAGGAGTGTAAACATGAAAGATGGGAATTTTACATGAGGCCTCAATGGACTTGAGAGGCTGCTAATAATTTAAGGCAATGGTTCACTGCCTCTTGTGAGTCATAGCCTTCTTTCCAAGTTTGCTGTAAGTGACATACTCCCACCTCAGAAAAAAGTGCCCTGATATTCAACATTTTGCTTACAATTTTAGGAAAGTCACGGATTCCCGGAAAGCTCATGGTGAGGGGTGTCTATATTTAAAGAGCAAACCTGAAATGCTCCAGGTTGCAGATTCTTCCCTACAGTTGTACCAATAAAAAGTCAAAAGAGGAAGGAATACCAGTTGCAAAAATCATTTAAGATTTTACTGACAATCAGAAAGTGTCCTCATTTTCATTATAAAGCAGCGTATGTGCAAGTCAGAGACATAGAGAGTTTGTATGCAGTCAGAATGATTAATCCTTTCTATAAGAGCTTTTTAAGTAAAGATGAGGACCACAGAAGTGGAATCTTCTGCTCCAGAAAACACTTCTTTCGTTTTTCCTCTCGAATTTCTCTTAGCTGCTGAGTGCATTTATAACGAATAACATACATATATAGGGTAACTCTATGAGCATTTTAAATGCTGTCAAATACAAAAACTTATTAGCAAAATTCTGATTATTTTTTCCTTTTCATGGCCTCTGTTAATGTATTTTGAACATAAAGGGTTTTAAGATGAGAAAAGAAACTGTGAATGTAGCCTAATTATAACTATGTTCCTCGGGCCATAATATATGGCAAACAATATATAGCAGTTTAATTACAATAAAAGTTTAATGAATGTGTGTTGAGTTTATTCCCCTGGTGATAAAAGTTTTAGAAATTGGAGCATAGCACTGAAAGGTATTCTTTAACATAGAAAATGAAAACGACAGTGGTGACCTAACTAAAATCTTTAAGTGCAATAGAGTTAAAAATTAAGTCTAAAATTCTCCCTTTCACCTACAATTCTGTACAGCATCAGTGGCATGCCACTGTCTATAGAGTGAAGAGAAAAGGGATGGTAGAGTTTGTGGAGACCAAGATTTTGGTTAAGAATTGAGTTTCCAACATAAACTCTGGAAGCAAGATTGTTTAGCTTCAGCCTGTGTTAGGAATAATTGCAACCCACTTTGAGTTCTCTCACAATGATTGAAGCACTGCGGATTAGACTCGTCTTTTTCCCCTCAATGCCTCACGGATTTCTTTTTTTTATGTCCTTTAAATTGAATTTAAAAATTTTCCTTCTCTTTTTTGGATTCACATTGGTTTAAATGTGATGCTTCTGTAAAGGCTCTATGAATTCAATATCCAATGTAATGTTTTTCTTTGTCCAAAACTTGGAATATTTTGTAGGATGAATTCACCATTCAGAAATAATTTAATATGTGGCCCTGTTGTAGACATAGAATTCAAACATGTTTCCACGAAGGATCGGTAAAACAGGTGAGTTTATAAAGCAACTGATAATATTTCATAATGAAGATGATTTTATAAGGCATTTACATTATCTCTTTCAATCACCATGACAATCAAAAATAAAATAACCTCCAATTAACCCTATGACATGAGTGCAATAAAGATTTTTCTTAAAGCAAACAGTTTGTTTTACAAGTTGTTCTGTTGTTTAATAATAGTTTGCTATTATTTATATTTTTATGTGCTTTGATCAGATACAAATTTTAATAGGGAAATAAGCAAACATTTCTAGAAACGAATTAGAAACAATTGTGTTTTAGAATACTAAAAGGATTTTTAAAACTTTCAATTCAGCAAAGTCAATATTTTCCCCCAATTGAAATAATGGAAAAACAAAAGCGTAGACACTTTCATGGCTTGGAGGGCATGGTCTTCATGTGCCCAAGGTCATGTTCCTTAGCAGCCACTGTTGGGATCTGCTTCCACTACAGTCCTGCATTGTAGGCACCATTTTGTCTTCTTCAGAAGGTTCATCGAGACATTGGTTACTGTTAACATGTCGCAACGTGAGTCTCTGTAAAAGATAACCAATAATCAGTGCAGCTTACTTCATCTTTAGCTTCACTAGCACATCAGATGAAATCTGTTCTCTAAAAAATCCTTTATGATTTTTTTAGTATAATACACTGTGATAGGTTTGTAAAAGGAACTGTGCACAGGTGTCCCTGGATTAATTATTATACAACTTTGACTGTTATGAAGTCATCATTGTCTAATATACCTTTATTTGCAGATGGTTAAAGAAACTGGCTGACATTTATCAAGCGTTGCCAAGAATTCAGGCTCCTTTGCAAAAAGCCCATTTGTGAGCTCTGAGTTCAGTTAAGGACTGCAAATATTAACAAGCTTTTGTAAAAGCTTAGTTTTCTTAGGCATGTGTTATTCAGTAACCATTTGGTAAACATGCAAATAGATGGCACAGCTGTGACCCAAATGAACAAAACTGCTAGAGATGTTCCCATTTCAAAATACTAAACAAGCTATAGTATCTGTGACTGTAAGACATTCATTGTAGAAAGTGATTATCAGAGCAAAAATTAATCTGTCTTACTTGATAAAATCTTTACAATAGTTTGGTCTGTATTTTTAAGAATCTTAAAAATATAACAAATAAAAACAGGGGCATGATGATCATATATTTTTAAACATTATATTTATATTTTGGTTTATTCATAAATTCCAATAATTGTATGTTAACCAGTCATTATATATCTTCTCTTTGGCATCTTTACGTACATTGGAAATCACATTTTTGGACTTTTCAGATATACATTTTAAATCAACATGATTTATACACACTAATTATATATATTTCTGCTATTTCATGGGCAATACCTAGGACCATATTATATGAAAACCTCTCCAACCAGAAGCGAAGTATTTGAATGTATGAGAGATAATTTGCAAATATATCTTGAAAATAGCACTGTACTTTTTTTTTTTTTGCAAATTACCAAAATTAAAGGTAAACAAAATTTTTTTTGGCTCTTGATACTACATTGAAAATGGGATGAAAGTAAACATAAGAGGTGGGCAATAAAAATGGTAGAGAAATAGCAGCCAGACGATTGTAATTTGTTTAGATTAGGACTGAAAACATCGTGGCCTGCACTGTTGTAAGAAACGATGGAAGGGAGAATAGGTTTGTGGTAGAGGAGGCCTAATAACAGCAAGCAGGAAATTAAAAGAGCAAGGCAATTAGATGCAAAGGAGATTTCAAGATTGAGACCTTTGTTGTTGCTCTTTCAAAACATGGAATCAAGTTATTTACACTAAAAAACAAAGAAAGGAATAAATGGCCAAAGATAGGCAAGAAGATGGCTGATTTACACTTATGATGCCAGAAATTCAACCAGTAGCCAGCTTGAAAAAATAAAGATACATAACGAAAACAATATATATTTTTTCTAAACAGTTCTAGTTAAAAATCAACAAAATGGTTTAATTTTTGTTACGTACCTGTGGTCCTTTGTGTATATATTCTCTTTCAAAAATATAACTTACCATTGCATACTTCTATTAGATCCCTTTTTTAAAAAAGTATGATTTTTCAAATATCAAATATGTTATTGCCCATTAAGCTACCCCAGAAAGCACTGCCAGTGTCTTATTGCAGTCGATCACATATCATAGTAGTTGAATGGTTTGATCAATTATCAGTTACCTTAGTTCAAAATATAGCACAGACTTGAGATTTTTCTTTAAGGATCATGTGAATAGATGTTGTCAACTGCACAAATAATAATTTCAAAAACAATAGTTTTTATTGTTCTTTCTAAACAATACATGATTTATTTGAAGGAATTCACTAGTAGTGAAAACCCACTGCTGCAGAGACAAAGAAACAACTAAACACTTCTTTATAGTGTAGTGCAGTAGAAAACCAGACCTTTTAGGCTCAGGTAAATTCCTGTCCCTTATTTACTAGCTGTGAACACTCAGGCATGCTTTGAATTATTCTGAGGAATCATGTTCTTTGTCAGAAAATACTTAGACTTAAACATGCTTACAAATATCCTTTTTCCCTTTTTTTAAAAAAATTTGACCTTTAGTCAACTAACTGGAATCCCCTGGCAACCTCAAAAGGGTAAAAATGTTAACTACGTTTCTAGCCTACATTGTTTATGGTAAAAATGAACTCTGATTGATAAACTGCATCTGCAACTGATAAATTGCATATATATACTAACAGAAAAGCAAACTTTGCGCTTTTCTAAGTGCAGACTTCTAATTCTGTATGTTTTATTTGGTTCCTGGAAGCTAGGCCTATGGAGTTGTTACAAGGAGAGATCATCTTCTGTGAGGCCAGTAAGCCAGGATGGTTTTGACATCTGCCTGATGTGGATCTCATCTCCTTGCAACAGACTGTCACCTGTGGAGAAGGCTATAAGAACTGCGAAGGGAACTGCCGCATTTTCTCCTATGGAGAGAAGCACTCTGCAGTCTCTGCTCTAGCACTCTATAGTAGACTTGTGAGAATAAATATTTAATTAAACCTAAACCTCCTCTTTTGGCACTGCATATATCAGGTTTGATTGCTTTGAAAGCAACTAAGATAATACACATAAATTGCTTTGTATACAAGTTTTCTTTGTGCAAAAGACCTAGACTTTTCCAGCTTTACCAACTCTTACATTTGGAATGTCTTTGACTGGAATATAGTTCTAATTAAAATAGTACCCCATGTGTTGTCCCCTCTCCATAATTTCAATCCCAGCCTTGTTACAAGACTTCTGAGCTCAATTGTTTCCTCCACTAACAATATTTAAGTGGTTCATCTGAACCAGAAAAATGCCCTAATCTTCCTGTGTTCTCATTGTAAGGTAAGGGACAAAGTAAAATCCTTTATTTTTTGGATAATAAACCCCTTAAAACTAAAAGGTAGGACATGTTCTTATTTGCACTCTTTAGAAGAATTCCCTATCAGTTGACCTGAATAATGATTCATTTTATTGCTTACTGAAAAGATAGTCACAAATCATACAAGTGAGAGATAAAAGATACAACTTTAAAAAAGTATGATTTCACTTAGGCAACCACAAAGAAATGCTTAGAAATAATTTTCTTTATAAAGGTATTGAAAAATCACATCTTAGTCTTTAATAATGCGCTTGCTTAGTGTTTTAATTAAAATAATAAGATACTTTGGAAAGGATATGCCATATTTGCATTTAACCAAAGTATCTGAATAAAAAGAAACAAAAATACATGATTTTGTTGTTTTAGAAACAATCCTTTTTTGACCCTGTTAGTTTTTTGATTTTTTTCAGATCTGATGATGCAGAACCTGTTGTCATATAAACATGGCTATAGTTCGCCTCAAAGAGAGTTAATGTGTCATAATACAGTTCATCAAATATATTTATGCATATATATGTTTAAAATAAAGAAAAAATAAAAAACATACCTACTCATTAAGGATAGACTAAACACAACTTAATATATGCAGTCCCCAAATTAATGAGTAACTAAGAAGTAAAAGACAGAGAGTTAACTCCATGGAGAAAAGGTACATAAAAATTTTTCTTAACCACATTTTAAAGGAGTTTCCAGATTTCAATAACTGAACATAACAAAAATACTAAAATTAATAAAATCTGCAACACAAACCTCCAAAAATCATTAGAGAATGTAATCAGTAGAATTCCCAAAAATATTTCTAAAAATTTCCATTCTTGTATAGTTTCTTAGTAGCCATTTTTGCAAAGTGCTATCATTACAGGTTTCCACTGTAGGATGCTGGGAGCCATCAGCTACTTTGTTCACTGAGAGACAAGACTGGGTGATTATATGAAGAAGAGTGTGGGTCTGTTTGACAAAGAAAATAATGAATAATGACGAAATCAAGTACAAAGACAGTAATAAATCAATCATCCTAGGCAACATGCAATTTCTACTGGATAAAGCTGGAAGGCACATGTCACAATAATTGCATCCATGGAGCTGTGAGCCACATTTTTTTAGATGGCTTTAATATCAACCCTATAAGGAAGGAGTAAATGAAGATAAGACTGAGAATATGGAGAGGGGCTTAAGATTAAATGATGAAATATTTTCGGCAAAAGGTTATTTTAGATATAAAAGATTATATTCTCAGCCTTCATCCTAGTAATACAATGCTTTTTAGTACCAGATGAGTTATTTGCGAGTGGATATTCAAAATAGTTGATTAGTCCAACTATGGCCCTTGGCCTCCTCATTCTTACACCCTAAAATTAAATAATATCAGGGACAAATTTGGAGGATAATTTAGCTTTAAGGCTTTACTTTGAACAGTATGGTACTCAAATTGCTCCCACTTGTGTTTTTACAGGGCTAACCTGGTTGTGTTCCATATGTACATTGCCACCTTCGTTAGATGTCAATTAGAAAGGCAGGTAATGAAGGGAGGAAAAAGAAAAAGATCAACTCTTAATCTAATTCTCCAAACAGTTTCAATTAATTAATTTATCTGTCCATTTCTTGCTCTCCATCTATTTCCTCCATAGGAACATAAGCTCCAGGAAAGCCACAGACTATGGCCACCTACATCTTGAAGCTCAGTGCCTGCCCATGGGATACACTAAGTAAGTCTGGTGATTCAAATGCTTAGTACAAGACCAGTGCAGACAATAAATTCTGTTAAAATTAAGCTACTTCTCTCAGTCAGCTTAATGTACACAAATTATTGGATTAATGTTTTCAAGGATTTATCTTCTATAGTAAAATAGTATATAATTTGTAAAGAAAGAAAAAATAACGTTTTATTCATAGTATTGTTAACTATGTAGTTGATATTAAAACTGTAACTATAAATAATATTGTTAACTACATAGCTAGATTTTTTTTAAGAAGACTAGTTTATATTTTTGTTTCTTTTTTTAACCAAACATGAATTTTTCCATCATACTGTTTAAAACTGCTAGGCTATATTATCTATGCTCATGATAGATATGTGTGTGTTGTAACTGAATTAAATTCACTTCTATTTGTGAAGTTTTAATTTCGTGCAGAGTAACTGAGGTTTCATTGAGTTACCTCGGTTTAGAAAGCATGAGATGCTAGGAATGTGATATTTGGGTTACTTGTAAAGTAGAAAAAGGAAGTTAAAAGCATTTTTTAATGTGGATTTTTCCTATGGTGGATAAGGGAAAATTTGTATTTTATCAACAAAAAGCTCCATAAAAGTAGTTGTGATTATTGTAATGAAAAAAAAAAACAAAAAAACAAAAAAAACCCTGCTAGGCTAGATCATCCTCTACCCTCAGTGATATTTCTTCTTGAAGTGAACTTTTCTTGGAAAATGCCATTTTAACATCAAAGATATTAGTGTAAATGATGTTAATTTCATTTGTAATATAAAAATTAATTTTTATGACATAAAACAAAAACAAAAATGATTTTGCTTACCCTCTGGAAACATAACCCCAGGGCATAAATATAACATAGAATTTTCATTAAAAACATGACTGTAACATACTTCCCAAAAGTGTTTATCAAATGAATGGCCATGAAAAAATAGTCAAAGAACTTTAATTCCAGGTACTTATAAAAAGCCATAGCCCAGAAGAAAAATTACAAATCTTATCCTTATTGAGACAAAAATTATTTTTCATTTAAAAACACACAAAATTATTTAGTGTCTTCATTTGCTTGAAAACAAAGCGTTAGTTCATTTATTTCTGAGTATACTGTTTGAAATGGTAACAATTATTAATATTGTGTGTATCTTCTAATAATTTTATGTATTTATATAATTGAGGTCATATAATCAAATATTCCTTTATTCATGTTGTGAGCATTTTTTTCTATCATTAAAATAATCTAAAAACATACTATTAAGAAACAAACAATTTCTCTGAAATGAATTTGCCAAAATCCATTTAACTTTTTTATTTGCAGGGAATATCTTTCCAATTTGGAGCTATTGTAAATAACAAAAATATATTGTATTTCAGAGATATTTGATCAATATGTTGATGTTCAGAGATATTTGCCATTATTTGTAATACATACAGATATAACTAAGGGTTGATATGTATGTATAATAAATAATGGCAAATATCTCTGAACATCAATGTCTATATCTGTCATTATTTCTTTGGAAATGATTCTTAGAAGTGAAATTGCAAGGTCAAATACATGAACACTTTAACACATATTAGCAAAGTTCTTTAAAATATATCTATAACAGCAATTTTGTAATAACAGCAGCAGCAGCTAACACTTCTTGTGCTTGCTATATGTCAGGATACTATATGGGTATCACTGCATCTTCACCAATGTTACAAGTTGCTGCTATAAACATTTCTTGCCGTATTGATAGGATAAACAAGAAATGAATACAATAACACATAAAATGATTTTTATGTATGTATGTTTTTTAAAAACTTTTTTCCATTTTCTTTGGCTATGTTTCTACTATGCTGTTTATTCAAGTCCTTGCACATTTCTATATGTGGTATACTATTTTCCCTTCAAAAAGTACAGTAACTAAGGGTTGATATGCTCTTTAGTAGGCATATCAACCCTTAGTTATATCTGTTTTTGTTGCACATGGCTAATTAGTCTACTTTTGTTTTCTTTTAGAGAAATGGTCTCACTATATTGCCCAGGCTGGCCTCAAACTCCTGGACTCCAGCAATCCTCCCATCTCAGCTTGCCAAGTAGCTGGTACTACAGGCCCATGCCACCGCAACCAGCTATATTAACTCAATTTTGAAGACAATGTGACATCCAGGCTGACATGCAACTTACAGCCAAATATATTTTCCTATAGCATATTTAAAATATTGACTAGAAAATAGGATCTAAACCCTAAGCTAATATTGAGTTTTGTTTATAATACGGCATTACTTTATTGTTCTCCTCTAGAATGTAAAGCCTTGGTATTTCCTGTGATGTACAATATTTCAATCATAATGTAAAAATACATAAGAAAAACATTAATGATTCCTGCCTTTATATATATTTGCTTGTTTGACTAACATAAAATGTGGCATGGAGCATCTAAATTTACCCTTCCAAATATATAATTCCTACTTAAAGCCAACTGGAATCAGGCTAAACAATTTTGGTGACAAAATAAAAGCCATTAATATTGTAAAATTAGGCCATACCTTGGCATTAAAAGTACTAATGTAAAAAATAGATATTTTAATGAACTGACTGCATAGTTAATTTAAGAGCCAATCACGCAGGTCTCAGTTTAAAAGTTGGTATACTAAAAGATTAAAATAAAACCCACTCAATTATGTTATTACATATAATAATATACAAAATAAGTATAAATTTGGACTACTATAGATATTTAATTTAATAGCAAAGATAATAGGATTTCTTCTGTTAATCAAGCATAGAATAACAATTAAAAATTAATATAACAAAGTTATTACTCAAAACATTAATTATGATCTCCAGACAAGGTAATCTATGCATTCAGTCAAATAGAAATATTATAAAATATGAAGTGTAATCATTTAACATATAGGAACTACAAATGTGACACTAATCTATTGAAATTCCTACTCACTACTTCTAATAAGAAATCACAGCTATGGGTCAATAGGAATATGGAAAGGTGATACCTGTGTAATGCACACAGCCTTCAAAAGGTAAATTAAGCCATTGTTTTTCTTAGGAATGCTACACAGGGGAATGGTTGGGATGCACTTAAAGATCACTTACCTTGAAATTATAATCCCATTTACCTGCTCTCTAATAAAGGTAAATAAAAGATGGTAGTGTAAGTCAAGTCTAAATATTAATCTAACACATTTTAACTATGGAAAAGCATTCCTTATATTGTGACTCTGGAAATTATTTGATACAGATGTATATAGAATTCACAACAAGTATTTTCTAAGTCCACTTGCTCAGTCACATGAAAAATAAGAGTTATTTTTAGCATCATATTTTTCTCCCTTTTTTTCTTTGTTGCATAGTGTTTGTTGAACGTAAGTGTTCTGATCTAAAATTAGATTCTCACACTGTATGTAGCTGCCTAGTTATTCAAAAAGAAATGTAATTATGTGCATATGTCACAGGAAAATATTCTAAATTGATTGGAACACAATTGTAATGTTCAAACAGAATATAAGAACACCTGAATAAAACAGAATGAATGGATGACAGAACTTTATAAAAGTAATTCTTAAAATGTTTCAGTGAGATGAATTTTTTTCTTTTCATTTAATGCTGGCAATAGGCATTTCATGGCATAGAGGGGTTTGTGAAATTTATTCAAGCTTCTAGACCACATAGGTATCCCACAATTTTGCTAATGATGCCCAGGATGCCCTCAATTCAAACAGGTTAGGCCATATATAAGATGACAATGAACTAAATTCATGGTTATTTACAAACTATTTAGTTAGGGGTGTGAGAAACTACATTTGAAATCAAAGTTAACCAAAGAAGTGCATTTATTACTAACATGTGCTTAGTTTCATTCAATTACAAGGATAAGCAATTACGAGTATGTATAGCTGAAGCTTGTAGGCAATTAGAGCAAAATGACAAAGTAGTTTTATGACTGCTTATTTAGCTAAATAGACCATATTTATTGTAGAACATCTTTCTCACTATTAAAAAAATGAGAAATTTTATGTCAATAAAATTTGGTATAACAAATAACTGATAGCATTTAGTTATTCCATTTGAAATACTGTATATTAAGCTTATTATATCATAACCATTGAAAGAACCGAATTATTTCTAGTTTTTTGATAACATTGAGAGGCAACGTAGTATAGTAGAAAAATTGCTGGATTTACTGTAAGAATCTGGCTGTGCAAACTTAAACGAGGCATTTACCCTATGCTTCATTTTACTAATGTGAAAAATAGAATATCTGTCTTATAAGACTATTGTAAGAATTGCACGAGAAAACAGATAAATATGTGATGAACTTTATTCCTTCTCTTTCCCCCCACTCACCTAAGAAGTAAACAAAACCAAAGTAGCTGGATAGATTCCAGGTTTTGAGACTTCATGACACTGTTTCCATTTTTCTCTGGATATTCCAACAATCCTACTCCTATTTATGACTTTCTTTTCTAAGATTGAAAGGACTATGGGAGATAAGGTGATGGAATATTTCTGCTGTTCACATGGTGAGATTCACAATTATACTGATAGCTAGCTTGCTTGGAATACTTTATTAGGACCTGAATTCTAGATCTGCTGCTAGCGGTGTAATCTTTGTGCTTTAGTTTCCTCCTGATAAAGGCTTAAAGGAGAGAACTTTAAGGTACGTTTCAGTTCTGTAATTCTGTGAACTCCGACAATTTTTATTCTGCCTTGAACCTGCACCACCTCAGAGATTTTTCAAAGAAAACTTTTGTCCTTGCTAGCAAAAGATAAAGAATTGAGTTAAAGTAGTAAGCAGCATGCATTTTCTTTCCACAGGTTGGAATATGAGAAGAATAGAACCACTGAGCAATTATTCCTCCTTCTCATCTCAACACCTATTATCATTTTGCTCCCTTTCCCTCCCTTTGTTCCCCTCTGGAGGCCTTGCCATTTTCCAAATTGTATCCGTGCCTTTTCCTAAATTTGTAATATTCTTTAATCAGTGTATAAAAAGACTATGGAAGATACATAGATATTTGACCCTGTCCTTTTCAAATGTAAATGTATATATGAATGATCGGAGATTTCATTAAAATACAGATTTGGATTCAGTATGTTTAGCATGGGTTCGGATCCTGCATTTCTAACAAGTTCCCAGGTGATGCTACTACTCCTGGAATCATCCTGTGGGTAGCAAGGGGTGGAACCCTTCTGTGACCTAAAGAAACCCTAAATGTAAAACTTAAAAGCATAGTAATAAATGTTATATTTCAATTTTGTTTAAAAAAATCCTTTTTAACACCTTCTCAAAAATAAAATCACATTTCAAAGCTGAAATTTCCAGAAAGGCAATATATTATTCCTACAATTGCTCTATTCTCATGTCATTTATTAGATTATGATCCATTCATTTTTTAATTTAGCAAAGTGGTGTCATTAGACAATGTAAATATCACTAGTTAATTTTGAAAACATAAACATATATGAGAATTTAATTAAGCTATATAATTCAGATGATCAAATTATTTAAAATAAAAATTTCTCAATATTTATGGCATTTTATAAGCTTTTCTGTGTGTGTGTTCCAAAGTCAAAGTAAACATGACACAAAATGTTATAATGCTCTGAAATACTACAACAGATAACTACTAGTCACCCAAAAGAGTAAATTTATAGAAATCACTTATTTATCTTAGGTGAAGCTACCTATTTTTTTCACTTTTTACTTAAAATTTCTTAGTATTCAGTAGCATTGCTACTAGCTGACAGAAAATGTAAACAAAAATATACACGTAATTGCTAACAGTAGTTATTTGAGAAATGAAAGAATTTGAGTTATGATATTGCTCACTCAAGAGTTATGAAAAAGGTTAAAGATTACAAGTGGTATTCTAAAATTCCACACTGCTTCATTTTATAGAAATGTATATGATCATTCCCCTTTCTTAATAAATATATTCTAGATTTTCTTATCTTTAGCATAAGCTCAGTAGAGTCCCAGGTTCCTGGTAGAAACTAAACAGTAACAACAACAAGAACAAGTTTTATTTAAAAATAAGTATCACTTCTAGGATTTCTACTGTATCTGTACATTTTACTGCATTTTTCCTCATAGAAGAGATAGAGTACTGATGAAGGATTTACCTACATGTATTTTGCAAAGGCACTGTTTTCTGTAGGCTTAATATCAAGGATGGCACCAATAAATAATAGTTGAAGAGAAAAAAGGATTAGTGGTCAGACAAGGTGAGTAAGATATAGCGAAGGCAATAGCATCTTAATAGAACACATTGGTACAACATAGGAAGAATTCTCAGTGTTTGTCTTCAATTACGGCTGAGAAGATGATTTTATGTCCTACGATCCTGGTAACATTGTATAAGTTTTAGACTCCAAATTAACCCTACATAACCAGTTTCAAATCCTATAAGAATTCAGTAAGTTTTTCTAATATTCAACTTAAGAAACTACAGAATCATGGAAATATTAAAATGACATTCAAAAAGGTTTTTAAAAGGTCTTGTTAAAATATCAACAATGCCAAAAAACTCTGTAGACTGGTTTTTAAAATATTATTCTTGTAGAAAATTTTAGGCTTGCATGGAATACTGCATCTGTGAAACCCATTTACCTCTATAGTAGTATTTATCTTCTAAGCAGAATGAACTTTAGTTTTCCTTTTATATAAATCACCTACCACTTAATAATATGGGAAATGTAACACAGAAGACCAATTCATTTTGTTAATCATAAAAGAAAACTGAAAGAAATGAAGCTGTTTTCGAGAGTAAGTTTCTTTATGCAAAGGAAAATATTTCTTTTTTATTAGCTCCATCTGATGGTTGATCTGGTTTTTACACACTGCCTGGAGATAAATTTCCAACAGTAATTTTGTTGTTTTCTCTCCCTCTCCTCTGTCAGAAAGGTGTGCTATATTGAGAAGAGGCTACTCAGCTTTTTAGGTGACTAATTAGTTTACTGAATTCTGTGAAATACTTATAATTGTAAACAGTAAAGAAATCTTGTTAATCTTGTCAGATATTGTTCCTTCCAGTTGCGGAACATAAATGTCAGTGATCAGTGGCATAAAATTTAAAATTTGAAAATATGTACATATTGTCAATATTATCCTGTATACACATCTTCATACAAACCTCTCAGATAGGCTTAGCTTACCCCTTGCCTAACTTATGTTTGGCATGTACATGGAGATAACAAGTTGTCATACACGAAACTGATTTTATTGTCCTCATTCATATTTTATATTAATGGACCAATTTGGCAAAACCTGTTTATATGATATGCCATCCTAATGTTACCGATATGAACCTGCATACTTAAAATCTAATTCTGCCAGTGTAGATGAAAACCAGCTTAAGATTTAAATGTTGAATGTTGAAATATATAACTGAGCTCAAGCATCAAATAGTAAGTAAATTAAGGAAAATACTATACCTCAGCATCATATTCCCATAACTGATTTCCTCTCATATGGTGGCATTTTAACATGATTACAGGTCCATTGAGTCTAGAAACATCCAAGCACAAGTCATCGGTTCGAATTTCTTTGTCAGCAGTGTAAGAAAATACCTGAAAATATAAAATTCAGCTAATAAAATAATATGTACATTTTAAAATGTTACAATAGAGCAGATTTATCCATGGAAGCTTTCATATCAGATAAACTTGTATTTTCAAATGATTGCTGGTATGTTATCCTGAGACAGCTAATTCATCTCTTTGAGTCTTTTCTCTCAACTGTAAAATAGGGACAAAGTCATCTGTTTTATGATGTTTTGGTGAGACCTCAGTTTAACAAAATAAACTTTAAAATACCCACCATTTGCTGGCACTGTATTTCCTGCATGATACTTGCACTATAAAGCTCACAGTAGGTTAAAGAAAATATAGTTTGCAAACTGCATGGAGCTCAATGAAGGGTAGTCCCTGTTCTACCATCTTATGACCAGTTCTCCAATTCTACAATGTCATTTTTTCATATAGAAGTTTAAATCTTTCTTCTGATAACATAAGTACATTGTGTAAATTTTATTAAATATTGTCAGTGAGCTTCTGAAGGTTGTAGATGTATCTTCTCTAGAGATCTCATTAAAGGTAGGCTCTATACTTATCTCTTTAATATGGTTTGCCTAGGCTTAACTACATCAATTCTTATGAAAATATCCAAGAAATGTCATGGTGGATTATGGACTCTTTGTTAGATAATTCAATTGAACTATAATAATCTTTATTATTTTGTTCCTGGTGTGAATAATTTATTTACAACATTGATTATTAAAGTTTCATGAGTTTTTTTTTTATTTTTTTATTTTTAGATGAAGTCTTGCTCTGTCATCAGGCTGGAGTGCAGTGGTGCAATTTTGGCTTACTGCAACTCTGCCTCCCGGGTTAAAGCGATTCTCCTGCCTCAGCCTCCTGAGTAGTTGGGATTACAGGCATGCGCCACCATGCCAGGCTAATGTTTTGTATTTTAGTAGAGATGGGGTTTCACTATGTTGGCCAGGATGGTCTCAATCTCCTGACCTCATGATCCTCCTGCCTTGGCCTCCCAAAGTGCTGGGATTACAGGTGTGAGCCACCGTGCCCAGCCTCATGAGGGTTATTAAGCACATAATTATAGAATGTGTTTTCTTCTTTTAGCTATGATAAGCATTGTTCAGTATTCTGTGGGTTTTTCTTTCTCCTTGCTATGTCAACAGAAAAGATAATAAGAAAGGTCATGTCAGAGTCTTTTTGTTTCTCAGAGATATCTGATGAAATTGGAGGAAGTCAGCTTTACAAATAATATAAACTCTGGAGCTCCATAAGCTGAACGAGTTAATCTTGGCAGAGCTGCCTCTGCAGCACTGCTTCTCAGGACTTCTATGAAAATCACAAGAAGTGGTGAGAGGAAGTGGAAAAATCAATGATGGAACACAAATACCCTCTTCTGTCAACCGCTTAAAAGGAAATTATTGGGGACTGGGTCGGTGACTCATGCCTGTAATCCCAACACTTTGGGAGGCTAAGGCAAGAGGATTGCTTGAGGCCAGGAGTTTAAGACCAGCCAGGGAAACATATAGAGATCTCATCTCTACAAACAATAATTAAAAGAAAATTATCCAAGCATGGTGGTACATGCCTGTTGTCCCCACTACTTGGGAGGCTGAAGTGGGAGAGGCTGAGGTTGGCAGATTACTTGAGCCATGATCACACCACTGCATTCAGTCTGGGTGACAGAGCAAGACCCAGTCTCAAAACAACAACAACAGTAGCAACAACAATAACAACAACAACAAAAAAAACCCAGAAAAATTTTCACAAAGGTTATACATTTACTTAATACACAATTTTGAGAAATGTGAAGTACATTTAATTGAATTATGCAAAATATATCACAGACTTCATGTATTCAATTCACAAATATATTTTCTAGCTTCATTACTTGTTCATGCTCATATGTTTTTATGAAGAACATCTGGTCACCTAAGAAGAATAACATAAAAACCCATCAACAGAAATATTCATATCCTCCCCAAACAGTATTATTTTAAACACAATTACAAACTTAGTTAATTATGTAAGTGAGAATCTTAAGCTGAGATGATAGGATTATTTCAATACTCAAAGATAGCCTTCTACATTAAAATTGCTTCCTTTTAAAGTGACAAATGCCAGTGTAAAAGGAAACCTCATAACGTCCATTTCAGCCTTAATTTTCTAATGGCTCAGGCCGTTTTTATACAGTATATTCTTCTCGAGTCTCTTAAGATAGTTTGGAAACAGTACCTGTTGAAAGTTTTAGAGAGCAGTCTACCACATCCCTTGATCCTCAATTTCTAATTTAGATTCAGTTTGTGGTCATTAGAGCTATCTTAAGTAATTTACATTTAAGAAAGATATAGTTTATGTACTTATATGTGTATATAAATTATATGTCTGTTAAATTAATTTTTGGCCTTTGTACTTGAAAAAAATTAACGGATGTTAAAATATTTGGCTCACAAGCAATTTTTGTTAAAAACAATCTGTTGATAATGCTTCCTTGTTTTTCTTGGATTAATGTAAAATCAGGATTAATTTGTTTTTGTACCTGAGAAATAATCTCATTTTTATGCTTGTTTCTAGGATGTTTTTTACTCTTTATAATAACAAAAATCAGTGCATGTCAGTATATACATACCATTCTTGAAACCTAATCTGGAAATTATTAGGTTTGAACTCAATTATTTATCATTTATATCTATTAGTTTTTGAACCTATAATTGTCATTATTAATTTTTTTCATATCTACTACTGTAAAAGGTTCATGAAATTCACTTTGGGTATACTGAAAACATTATATGTGAAATACTTTGCAGAGATTCTGGCACACAGACAAAATTCAGTAGCTGATATTTAGAGTTATTATTCCCAGTCTTGGAGTTAATCCCAAATTGAGGATTTCTTTCCAACACCACCAAGAAATTTTAGTATAAGGGTCCAGCAATGTTTGCTCTTGCTGTCTGAGCTGAGCCCTTGGCTGCTGTACAAGTCCCAAGGGAGAGTTTATAATACCTGATGACAGATATTTCTGATAATTTAAGCATTGTATTATGACCCTCTAGATTAACTACTTATGAGTTCCTTTATGACTTTGGGGACAATCTCCGAATCTCATGCTGGATTTCCTCGGAGCAGCTATTCCCTACAGCTGTTGCTTGTTTTTCCATCTCACTACTCCACAGACACTCTCAGTTAGTATGTGTAAGGCCCAGCCTGTCCTTGCTGTGGTTGAAACCTTTATGCCTATGTGAGTTAAAATATTTCAAACCTGAACACCAATGAAGCACTTTACTTTAAACTATCAGGTATGTTGATAACTACACTATACAAGATTGATTCATTCATTAGTAAAATCTCATTGTACATTCTCTTAAAATAATGGAAACTATTCTTCTTCCTTTTCTGATTATCACTCAAATTACTTTATCATCGGTTACCAATACTTAGTAAAGCAGAACCGAGTTACATGAACCATAGATTTAGCATATGTTTCCACTTGTTCCAGTGCCAGCCTGACTTTAATGACAATTAATTGGTTCAAAGTCTAATCACTTTAATTAAGCTAAGGTGACTAGAAGCAGGGAAAAACAATCAATCTCTGTGGCTTTCCTTCCATTATAAAAGAGGAAACAGGGAGGAAGTTAACATTAACTGAACACTACCTTTTTTAAAAAAAAATGTGTTCTATGCTTCATGTATATTACATTAAATAAATTTGCTCTATTCTTTCATTGTGCAATTGTATTTATATTTCTATGAATGTATACCAACTTACAGTATTGCAAAATGTAACAAATAGAGCTCTTTACATGAATCCTATGGATTTAGTAATTTATAGTGCTTTTAAAATTCTGTTTCACACTTAATGTTCATGTTGTCTAATCTGTAAAATTATGAGCTATCTAGTATCACATATACTCTTATGTAATCCTTCAGTCAAGCTAGGTCTACAAACCACCACTAAAATGGCCATTTTTTAAGTCAACTCTTTTAATCTCAGCTATCTTATAAGATGATGATAATGATACAGGTAATAATGTCTATGCTCCAGTTTATGGACCTTGTTGATTATTATGCCTTTCAAAACTAATTACTCACTGTAATAACTCAGTTTTTATTGTTTACTGTTGTATTAGTTCACTACGACTGCCATAACAAAGTACTATGGACTGGGTGGCCTAAGCAACAGGAATTTATTTCCTGACAGGTTTGGAGGCTGGACGTCCAAGATCACGATCTTAGCAGAGTTGGTTTCTGCTGAGGCTGCTCTCTTTGGCTTGTAAGAGAGATCTTCTCCGTGTGTCTTCACACAGTCTTCCTTCTCTGTTTGCATGTGTCCTAATATCTTTTTATAAAAATACCAGTTACATTGAATTAGGGCACCCTAATGATGCCATTTTAACTTTACCTCTTTAAAGACTCATCTCTAATATGGTTACATTCTAAGGAACTGGGGGTTAAGACTTCAACACATGAATTTCTAGAAGAACACAATTCAGGCCACACCACCACTAACCCTTTACAATGTATTGGAGTAGATAACATATCTTTCCTTATTCCTAAGTGAAAAATATGGTGTGCATGAATTTTTTTTTTTTTTTGGCTAACCTGTTTAGGTCACCTTGGGATTCAGTTCTGAAATTAGAATATACTATTTAGTATTACTAATCAAAACTCTAAATGTAATGCAATATCAAATAATTCCCCCTTCTCCACATTGGGCTTAATTTATGTTGGCAGCCTGCAGAGGCAAAGGCTTTTTCTGTTTTACGTCTTAAGCTTTTTTTTTTTCCCTCACTGTTCTTGCCCACTCCCAAATTCACCCAGTCTGCTAATCATTTTTTTATTTTTTTATTTTTTTATTCTTCCAGAGTGGCAAAGCTGTAAAAGAGGTCTTACTTGAACTGTTGTGTATAACTCCTTCCTGTTCTCTGGCCTGCCAGAGATTTAAAGCTTCCTGTTCTGAGATCATTTGGATTTTCTTAGAGATTCCCATCGCTGAGCACCTCTTAACTGAAGTGCAAAGAAAGAGGACAATGCATATT